TAAATATATTTTATTTTACTATTTCATGTATCTCTACATTTCCATTTTTGGAAAACAAAATAAAGAGCAATTACGTTTTATAATTGAATTCTGTCATAATATTTGGTCTATTTGATAAAATGTAGATATTTTCAAGTGAATAAAGAAAGTAATTTTCGCACTGCAATTTGCACTAAAGATCTACGAAAAAATAGGTACATTGTATAGATAAGAAAATCCAAAAATAGATGTAACTAGTCGTGCAGTAGAAATAAGGTGATACATAGAGCCTACTGCAAAATTAGTCATTGATTGTAAATTATTTCTTGCATTGGGAATAGATTTCTTTAATTCTTAGTACATTTTTCACTATGTTAATTTTCTTGGAGTATTTAAGCTCATCTGGGGGAATTCAGCTTTAGGAAGCAGAATAAAGCACAATTGGCTATCTTTCGCATGATTGATGAAACTTCAGTTTTTGTCTCAAGGGAAAATATTTTCACAGGATTTCAACAATTACGGGCTTCTTTTCTAAGGAAGCATTCTTCTTGTTCATCATGTTACCTCAAAGGTAACTGAAGGTGAGCTGTGAATGGTAAGGGATAATTCACTTGGCTATGGAAACCCCAGTTAGTAAGAAATCAACTTGTTTGTCTACAAGAAAGCTTGCTATTCATAGTGTTTGATTGTTGAATAAGAAGTCGAAAACGGGACAAATATTAAAGTACAATGTTTAACATTGATGTTTACAGTTAAAGACATTGCTAAGATGCGATGTAGGCCGTCGGCTGAGGAGAATAGCAATCAGTATTATAAGAAAAGTCTATATATCAAGTTTCTTAATTTAATAAACAATATTTTTTCCTTGCAAATGGAGGTTTATGGCTAAAAAATAAATCCTAGTCCGTCCCTCGGGCGGTCGGCGGGCCCGTCCGTCCCCGGGCCTTTCCGTCTCCAAATTTTTGTGCCGCCTCTATAAAACCTATAAACCCAAATTGGAAAGGATTTTCTTAAATTTGGGGTAAAAGTTCACCTTAAAAGGGGATGTGCAGAAAAAAATTTTTGCCCATGGGGTCAAACTCAAGGTTGGGGCTAATTTTAAATTAAATATCAACAAACAAAAATTACACAAATATTGTGTACGCTTGTAAGTCCTAACCATTTGAAAGAAATTTTCCCCATCAAATTTGCTTAAAAAGGGTTTAAACCCCAAAAAAGGGATGTGAAAAAACCCAAAATTGCCCCTATGTCAAACCCCAAGGTTAAGGTCCGATTTTTAAAAATTTAAATATCAAAAATGAAAAAATTAGACAGTATGTTGTGTCCGCTCTGTAAGTCTTTACACTAATTAAAAGATTTTCTTCAAACTTGGCTCAAATGTTCACCTCAACAAAGGGATGTGCAGAACCTATGTTGCCCATGTGTCAGCTCAAGGTCAAAGTCACAATTGAAGGTCAAATATCAAACAACCAAATATTACACAGTATGTCGTGTCCGCTCTGTAAGTCCTACACTAATTGAAAAGATTTTCTTCAAACTTGACTCAAATGTTCACCTCAACAAGGGGATGTGCAGAACCCATATTGCCCATGTGTCAGCTCAAGGTCAAGGTCACAATTGAAAGTCAAATATCAAGCAATCAAATATTAGACAGTAGGTTGTGTCCGCTCTGTAAGTCCTACACTAATTGAAAGATTTTCTTCAAACTTGGCACAAATGTTCACATCAACAAGGGGATGTGCAGAACCCATGTTGCCCATGTGTTAGCTCAAGATCAAAGTCACAATTGAAGTTCAAATATCAAACAATCAAATATAACGTAGTATGTCGTGTCCGCTCTGTGAGTCCAACACTAATTGAAAGATTTTCTTCAATCCTGGCTCAAATGTTCACCTCAACAAGGGGATGTGCAGAACTCATGTCACCCTTTTGCCGGCTTAAGGTCAAGGTCACACTTGAAGGTCAAAAATTGACAAGGGGATGTGCAGAACCCATGTTGCCCATGTGTCAGCTCAAGGTCAAAGTCACAATTTAAGGTCAAATATCAAACAGTCAAATATTACAGAGTATGTCGTGTCCGCTCTGTAAGTCCTACACTAATTGAAAGATTTTCTTCAATCTTGGCTCGAATGTGCACCTCAACAGGGGGATGTGCAGAACTCATGTCACCCTTTTGCCAGCTTAAGGTCAAGGTCACACTTGAAGGTCAAAAATTGACTTAGAAAATATTCTTAAATTTTACCATTGTACTTGAATATTTCTGATACTAGAATAGGTATTTGCTTGAAACTTAAAATATACATGAAGTGTCACAATTAAGATATGCTGGTCAAGTTTCATAACTCTGTATTGCATTTTAGTCTTCAAATTTACATACAATCAAATATTAGACAATATGTCGTGTCCGCTCTATAAATCCTATACTAATGGAAGAATTTTCTTCAAACTTTACTCAAATGTTCACTTCAACAAGGTTATGTGCAGAATCTATGTTACCTATGTGCCGGCTAAAGGTCGAGGTCTCACTTGAAGGTCAAAAATTGACTAAGAAAATGTTCTTAAATTTGAACGTGTGCTTGCTTATATTTCTGAAACAAGCACAGGTATTTGCTTGAAACTAAAAAGATATATGAGGTGTCACAAATAAGATATGCAGGTCAAGTTTCATAACTCTGTATTGCATTTTGACAAAGTTATGCCCATTTTTAAGTCTTTAAATTTACATACAATCAAAACTGGACAATATGTCGTGTCCGCTCTATAAATTCTATACTAATAGAAGGATTTTCTTCAAACCAAACTTTACTCAAATGTTCACCCCAGCTGGGCAATGTGCGAACCCATCTTACCCTTGTGCCAGCTTAAGGTCAAGGCCACAGTTGAAGGTCAAAAATTGACTTAGAAAATGTTTAGTACATTGGGAAAATGAAAGGTTATTTGTAACTGTTTCGAACATGATTTGACAATATATATTTATACTATTACCTGTAAAATTAGTATTTTTTTCACCAGAGATAATTTCTTTTTATGTGTATATATTTGTGCCACTAAAGTTATTCCCTTAACCACCTTTCCAAGTTGTCTTCTGTCAAGAACATTAGTGGGGGTATGAATCGCATTCAGCGATAGTTCTAGTTAATGTAGTTTATATGAACTACGAAAAACGATGGGTTTCAAACGTAGTAAAAAAGCAAAATAAAAGAAATAAAAAAGCGGCAAAAATTCTTCAACATTCGATTTTGAATGAAGTTTCTAAATTATTATGATGTACGGCCAATGTCGTTTTACTCTGCGCTTAGCTATGAATAAAATTTTAGTCGTTATTATCATGCAGTAGCATCAAAAATTCCCTGTCGGCTTTTTCTAGATAATTAACTTTTTTAAAACCGTCTATTTTGCATGTGTATCAAATGAGTGTTAGTTGAAAGTTTTGTATACATATATTTATATCTAGATCTAATTATAGGCACATTAATTATGCCTCAGAAATTTCTAATTCTTTAAAACATGTGTTTAATAATGTTTAAACAATGTAAGATGTTGAACTATCGAAGAAAGTAAAGCTGAATGTGCATTTAGGCAAAATGTATAGCATTTTCACAGCCATACAAAAAACTTAATCGCAAAAGAAGCTAGTGAGCTAACGTGTAATATTTTGAAAACTGTAAACAAATATGTAATTATTAAAAATAAAATAAAAATAAAAAGAAGCTTTTCGAGGGTTTAATGGACCTTAATTAAGTTGGTACAAACGCAACAGATGTGATCTTGAAACTTACATGTATCATTTTGAAAAACGGGTACTTCAAATCACTTGCCCCTCACCGCTGTGGGTTCGAATCCCGACAGGGACTTTGACTTTTTTCATGTGAGGAAGCTATCCAGCTAGCTTACGGAACGTCGGTTGTTCTACTCAGGTGCCCGTTTTTGCCTGAAATAATGCACGGAAGGACACCTGAGGTCTTCCTCCACCAGTGTCGAAATGATAGCAAAATGTAGAACAAAGTAGCATTTTAACATACATGTACATACAGAATTTTAGATAACTATTATTATACCAATTGCACGCCTAATGATAGTTCCTCTAAAGGCCAACGTGTAACATTTTGAAAACTGGAACAAAATATGTTAAGTATATATTTATAAAAAGAAGAAGCATTTCGAGGGTTTAATAGACCTTTGAGTTGGTACAAACGCAACAGATGTGATCTTAAAACTTACATGTATCCTTTTTTGGTTTTCACTAAACTTAAAGTACGATAATTTTCTCTATTTTAAGCCTTACTTGCTTAAGGTTTATTATTACATATTCATACAATCTGTTTTGCAATACGGTCTTCTATTACCATTATCATAATATGTATGGCTTCCAGATTTGTTCATAGAATTTTCGTAAGGTATTTAACTTTATATTTGTTCAAAATCAACTTAACGGGCTGAAAGAAAAACATAATGGAATATTAGAAAAGCTTTGTAATTTGATACGTAAAATGTACATGCATATCTGAATTTCTATTTCTTTTGTTCTTTGCAATTAAGATCTTAAAGAGTTGTGCAGTTTGGGTATCGCAGTTACTGTATGGGAACAGGAAATTTTAAATTGTTATATTATTGCTTTGTGAAATATAAAACATTGCTATTTGAATAATTCATTGTAATTTGATCTTTCATGTGTATAAAATTATTTAACTGTACGTACTGAATTGTCAACAGTGTCAAGAAATAAGTGACAGTCTAGATAGCTTCTTACAAATTTATAAATAAAAATTAAAATAACTGGTGACCGATATTAACTTTATGCTTCAAAATGCTGTATAATGATTATCATTTTTGTTATAAACCACAGAAATAAGCGGCATACAGTTGCTGGATGTTCTTGGACAAGTTCCTCAACAATATTTTATTCATCTTACAGCTGCACGGTGACATTTAAACGGAATTATGGCGTTCATCAAGCGAGACAGCTAGTAATCTCACTGTAACGAAGGTCTTTGTAAAGGCATGATAGAAGATCAATTTACAATGGCTGTAAAAATAATCCAACTATTATCGTGATGATGTGACTGGAATTTACCAATGAAGTCCGCTGGTACGCTAAATGCTGAGCAATTACATTTTTTTTTTGAATTTGCGACAAAGTTTGTGCACAAACTTATAATCATCTCTATAAGTACCGTCTTAGAAATATTTCGTCTGTATGTAATAAAACTGTGACAACCTGTCAAAAGTTTGTGTTTGATCATGTTATGTTTCACTAAGTTGTAAACTTAATGTTCACTGTGTAAACAATAAACTATACCTTATATACAGTCAGGTTCTCCTTTTATGTAGTTAATAAAAAGAATAATGGAACATTTCAAAGATGAAAGTAGACTACTAGAAAATGATTTTACAATCAAAACATGGAAGGAAGATTTCTGTTTCATTGTTGAGGGCAAACGATTTTATGCGGCGAAAAATATTTTGGCTTTTACTTCACCCGTTTTTGAAAGAATGTTCCAAGCAGATTTCAAAGAAAAAGATCAAAATGAAATGGAATTACCTGGAAAACTATCAGCAGACATGGAGGAGTTTCTTAAATGTATATATCCAACTGTAAGGAAAGATGTTACCATTGACAATGCATTCCAAATCATAGGTTTGGCAGAGGAATACCAAGTCCTTGAACTTAAATCGAAGTGCGAAGATTGTTTTCTGAGAGATGTCGATGAAAAATGCTCCGTAGAGAAGATTTTTAAATTATACAACTTGGCTTGTCTCTATTCTTTGAAAACTTTATCAGAAAAATGTATGAAACTGGCAGCTAACAAGTCCCTAGCTGAACTTGATGGAGCGAACGAAAGAAATCCAATACCTCTCATGGAAATCCAAAGGAAAATTATTAGTGAGATGGAAATAAAACAGCTGGAAACAGAAAAGAAAGTTAAAAATTTACTTCGAGAACAGAAGAAATTGATGACCTTGTACAAATATCATCATGCAAAACTTCAAAAGGGAGAAAGATTAGGACTTGATGATTTTGAAGATTGGGAGGGGACAAGCGAGTACATAAAGATGAAGCCAGAGAAATTAAGTTATAAGGACACAATTCACTATTGTTCCATCAGTATATGTGAAATATCTTTACAGTTGACGTTGAAAATAAATTGCGATCGTTTCATGTTGACTGTAAGTGTATGCAAATCGGACGTACAACACTTTTAGGTCAAGCTTGTTGGAAACGTTGTTTTGTTTAATGGAATGGAAGGAAAAAGGGATTATTGTCAGAAGTTTGAAACAACGTTTGATAGACGTGAAAACTCGTTTGATGTCTCAATTTTAAAAGGAGTAACTATGAGAAATGAAGGATACATCTATCATGGTAAAATAGCTGTCGAGTGTAATTTTCTCGCCTTAATGAAAAAAATAAAAAATCTACAAAACAACAATTTTTCTTCAAATTTATATGACAGACCATGTTTAAACATGAAAAAACGCGATTAAGGGTAATTTCAAGTATTTTCATCATTTTCTGTTAACCCATTGCTTCATATACACGCCTTTTAACGCCTTTTTCACCCCCCCCCCTTTTTGTTGTCTCAAATGATGAAAATATGCCTTATTTAGGCCCCAAACACTTGTTTTTGTTTGAGAAATGTTGTTAAAAAAGTGACCTCTTTTTCGGCGCGGCCCCCCAGCCAAAAGATACATCAGGGGGTTGCCAGAAGGGGGATGTGCCCCCTTCTGTTTGGGGGGGGGTTGAAGGGGGTCGGAGTCCCCCTCATCGCCAAGAAAATTTTGGACTTGTGAGAGGCTGTAAATGACCCCAGATTGATCATAAGGTAACGTGTAACCAACGCTGAAAAGCATTTGACTCTATCTCAATCCATTGAGAAGTTGCAGCACTTTGAAATCAATTTTGATGGAAAAAATCAACGCAAAATAGTGATTTTTGGCAATTTTGAGATGTCCCCTCGTTGCCATGGTAACAGAAAATTAAAGCCTGAGCATGTTGTTGCAAGGGCAATGGTCCAGTCAACATTTGAGCCAAGTTTGATTAGTGTTGAAGCAGTTTTTATAGTATTATAGCAATTTGAACTTGTAACGGGAGACTTTTCAATGAAAACAGCCATTTTTCACAAAATGCTCATGAAGTTATGGGTTAAGAAAAGCTAATCTTTTCCAACGCATATCTTTTGCAGAGTTATCTTGAGCCTGTGCCTTTACAAGAATAGGATCAGTATTTACCATAAATATAACCAGACTTGAGTAACACCATTCAGAAACAATTAAAAAAATCGTGGTCTCTCAAAGGGATTTGTTCCGCAAAAGTTGTACAGTTAAACAAAAGTAACATACACGGACACTGTCAAGATGCAAGACATGAACACGGCTATTTTTTACTTCTACTATGTACTTTCATAGCTTTATAATGTGTATATTTACATTGTCAATAAATACTGTGGAATTACAATGCAACTTCATGGTAGTATGTCATTACATTTTACCTGTGTACTCTTCAATATACAACTATTGATGTGAGACAAAAATATATAAAGTAAATATTTTAATAAAGGTTATGCATATCTACAAGAGACAACAATGACGAAATATTCACTTTAATGTACAGGTATGCTAAAAATGATATTTCAATGTAAAGAAGCTCCTTTTTTGTCATACCCATATTCACTGTGTCTACTTTGTGTTGTAAGCATTGTTTGGTCATGGTACAGACATTAAGTATCTATGCATACATATGTAAGTTAAATGTACTGAAAATTCAGAACTTTAACTAGATATAGACAGATATGTGTTACAATTGACTTGTGTTTATACATGCATGTAATGTTGATTGTATACAATGTCACTCATTGGTCTGTAACCTTTAGTGAATAAAGGTACTATATCCATAATACTGCTTTATTATATTTCTGCTAAAGACCATATATTGCAAATTAAATTATCTTTCAGATTTCTTGGCAATCCTGTACATTTCAGTTATCTCCCACATAAGAAAATTGAAACATCCTACAACACAGGATAAAACAGATGTTTGTAGAACATACATGTCCCCGTCGTCAGCATGCAGGAGTTTAATGATATATTGCTGAGATGCAAGAGCAATGAGACATTGACCAAAGAGCCATTGACCCAAAAATCAAAAGGGATTATCTAGTGTCCCAAGACAAATGCTTCTATGAAGTTTGAAGGTCAATGGCCCGTTGGTTTTTACCGTACTTGTCAGAAACCATTTTGACACACAAGGTCAATGTGACCTTAAACTGCGACACCAAAATCAATAGGGGTCATCTACTGTCCTAGACCAAAAGCACATGTGATGTTTAAGAGCCAAGAGCCCAATGGTTTTTAACTTATTGGTCAGAAATCATTTTGAGGTCAATGTGACTGGACTTTAACACTGCAACTCCAAAATCTAGAAAGGTCACCTACTGGCCTAGACCAAAAGCACCTGTGATGCTTGAGGGCCAAGGGCTCATGAGTAGTCGAATTGTTCCAACATACAAGGTCAATGTGACCTTGACCTTTGAACCCTTGATCACAAAATACATTGGGGTCATCATCTTCCCAAGACCAACACACCTGTGAAGTTTAGTGTAAGTCATGCGTTCATAAGTTATTGATCAGTAACATTGTGGGACTCACCGACAGACCGGATGGCCGACCAACATCATGCTGCAAAGTAATTTGTCCTCTCCTCTTCGAAGGGGAACATAATCATAAAGCCTTGTATCATTGCTATAATGTTTTAGTCATACCCAGAGATAGAAACAAGAAAACTGAAAAAAATATTATCTCCCTTTTATATCTATATATTAAATAAACCAGTGTTCATCTGTAACAAGCAATATTTACATAAATAACAATACATGTATATATAAGCATGTATATACATTAGTGAGTTTTTCCATACCTACTTGAAAGATATTTGACAAAACCATATAATTAATGTACCTTTCTAACACATGTATATGGCTTTGCAAAATATATTTATGATATAATTGGCAATCATACGCAATTTTAAATGCAAATCACTTTGCATGGAAATGACAGAAGAGCATTTCTCTGGAAAAATGAACAAATAAATCTTGGGCATTAGGTTATCTTTATAAAAACAAACATATGAATGAAAATTAAATTTCTTCAAAGATCAATAAGTTCTAGAAAACGGATATAAATACCGACAGAATTATGTTATTATTTGAAGGATGAAATTATCAAGCATATCTTTAAAAGTTATTCCATACAAGAATATTTTTTCTGATAAAGTTTCTTTATATCACATAATTTATGCTTAACATTAATGGATCGTACTATTATTTCCAATAACATTTATCAATGAAGTTGAAAATCTCACACAAGCAGTTTCAACAAAAAAATGTTCTATAACAACTGATAACAGATGGCTATATAGTGAGTATGTGTTCCATGAAATTAATTCTTTTTAATAATATAAACTGCTAATATTTTTAAACAAGTGCAATTTATAAACTTAATTTATAAGTTCTTATTTCTAATCAAAACTAAATGAACAAAAGTCTAATTAAAACAAACTAATGAACAACAAAATTGCTGTATTAATACATCTGTAGCAATGTCCCGTAGAATTGTCATTTCTTCACAAGATGCCAATTTTTAACGAACCTTGATGATATAAATCATCTAAAGCTGCAGTTTTCATGGCACATTTGTAATTACAACAAACAGAGCATTTTGTTTCCTCTAAAATGCTACAATTCAATAATCCCCTTTTCTAAAAAATATAATCTTGAAATGATGACTTTCAAACATGGTAAAAATGAAATACAAATCACCAAATTTGACAACCGTTTTTGAATTAAATTCTCAAAATAAAACCTATGATTGCAGAATCTGTATTATTTTCAATAAGTCTTTGCTATGGTAAGTATTGTTTATATTTATAGTTTCTATTTCTGCATTTTCAACTGAATAACTGCTATGATGGCATATGATTACTGGAAATTATATTAGCAATGTCTACAACAAACTTGAAACTTGAAACCTGAATTCAGTTAAAATAAAAAAAACATGAAATGCGTATAAAGCTAGAACCACTCTTGATGTTAGTTCCCGAAACTAACCAGCAGTTGTGTCTAATGATGAAACATGGAGGTGACCCGAATCCAGGAGATATATTCCAATAGGCTACCTCTCTCATCTAAATATTGTTGCGATTATGTTTTAGGAGATACAGTGCATAGGACACATCATTTGATGGGTATCTCATTCTACATCAAATATAATAAAGTTTCTTTTTAAAAGGAAAGGCTTGCACAGTTGTGCCTTCATCCCAACCCTTTAAAATTGTTATTTTTTTTTTGGTTTCAATTTATTATCACATTTTTTTTGAATTACGGTACATGTATATCATAAAGGGTTTATTTAGTTGTTTTTTTGTTTTTTTTGGAAAACAGAATATTTTTTGTCAAAACGATTTGAAATCTATTCTCTATTGTATAAAACTAATAAAGAAAATGATCAATCGTAAAAATACTAACGTGATACTGAAGGAAAACAAGTGTGCACATTTCATTTCCCCTTTTTCGCAGCGAAATCATTCCTTTGCTTTATAGACAAGTAAATGCACTAAAATACTTCGTTACGTGGTACCAATTAATAAGCATGTATCAACTATGTTACACGCTCACAAATAGACGATGCGCTATCTGTAGATCAGCACGTGGCAAGGTTAATGATATGCATGGGCTATTTTTAGATTACCTCACCAAGAAGTTGAATTGCGTTCAGTAGATCTAAATATAACTCGATCATGCGTGATTTGGTAAGCAGGACCACCCTTTGAAGACGGAATACTACTACAGTCACAATTCTCTATTGTATAAAACTAATACAGACAAAAAACAATTATAAAAGAAACTAACTTTTGCGTCTTAAAAAACAATTGAAACGGAACAATTTCGTTTATAATTTATTACGGTTTAAACCGATAAATCAAGTAAAAATAGAAATCCTATTTATATAAACAAACTGGGATTACCGAAGTAACTAAAATAGCTTAGATTTCCGTAATATTACTTCGTCTGATTCCGCAGTATGACGGAATCGCCCGAATTGTCACGATTGCAATCGGCTATTATCATTAATCCGAAGAGTGACGGAAAAGGCCGAAAAGTTGCGATTGGCACGATTGCAGCTGGTTTCCTGTTCAATTATGCACCAACAGATGTATGCAGGAAACCACCTAACCGGAACAAGTTTTCCAAATGAAATGGCTTGCGGTTGCAAGTCAAAAATACATACGGGTATGGTTTATAAAATCATTCGAATTCACGTTTTGCCCAGCTTGATAAAGTATGTTCGTTAATAAAACGAGGACTCTCCTTACATTAATTGTATTTTCTCACTAATTAAAGGCC